GTTTCAAGCCAGCTTTTGCACTCTCCTCTTTCACCCTCATCAAGAGGGTCTTTAGTTCTTCAATCAGATAGCATATTTGAAATGGCCCCTCCCAGTTCTGATGTTGGGAGGACAACTATTTCAAAACAAAGTAATACCCCCCTCCCATCTCCCTCCCCCCTCCATGTCTGGAGCTACTGGTTGGGAGAGAAATATTTCCATCAGGTTTTGAATGCAAAAGAAAGCCTCAACCCGCCCCTTTCTCTTCCCACCATTTTAACCTCCTATCCATCACTGAATGTGCTGCAAGCATCTATGACCCTAAAATGCTTGCCTAACAAATGCATAACAAAAAGGAGAACATTCCCAGAAAAGAACATAAAATGGCATGTTACTTTTCTAAATGTGAAAATATTCTCTAAATTAATGGGTCCATAAACCATATGTATATCCATTTCCAGAATCATTGCCTCAATAAACTTTTGATTGAGGAAGTAAGTATTTTTATAAAGTGTATTGTGGCAGTAATAGATCAATGAGCACTTAAAACAATGCAAGTGAGACTGCCTCCTAATTCTCACTAAATTTTGTACATTATGGGATACTGTGGATACTTTATCTCAGTGCCTGGAGGCTATGAGGGTCTGGATGGGGAACAACAGGCTTCAGATGAACCCTGGCAAGACTGAGTGGCTTTGGGTTTTGGGACTTACTGGTTTGGTTCTAGGACTATACCATCTTTGGTGCTGGATGGAGTGGCACTGCTCCAGATAGACCTGGTGTGCAATCTGGGGGTCTTCCTAGACTCACAATTCCTGCTCAAAGAACAGATGGCAGTTGTGGCTAGGGGGGGCTTTTGCAGAGTTTCATGTTGTATGCCAGTTGCACCCATTCCTAGATCAGGAGGCTCTTCTCATAGTCACTCATGCCCTGGTCACCTCCCAATTGGACCACTGTAATGCGCTGTACATGAGGCTGCCCTTGAAGAGAATCCAGAAGCTTCAACTGGTGCAGAATGCAGTGGTGCAGGCAGTTATTTGTGCCCCCAGAACAGCACATGTCACATCTGTGCTCCATGAGCTGCAATGGTTGCGAGTTTGTTTCTGGGTCCAATTCAAGGTGTTGGTTTTGACCTTTAAAGCCCTTCATGACATGGGACTGGGTTATCTGAGGGACCACCTCTCCCCAATTACATCAGCCTGTCCCATTAGATCCAGCATAGAGGGCATGCTACTCATTCCATTTGTGAGGGACTACATTTGATGGGTCCCAGGAGGTGGGCCTTCTCTGCCATGGTGTCCGCCTTATGGAACATTCTTCCACCTTAAGTTAGGTTAGCTCCATCCTTGTTAATGTTCAGTAAGTTCCTCAAGACCTTGTTATGTCACCAGGCTTGGGGTCCCAGGGAACTGGCATCATTTTAAGGTGGCTCCCTTGTTGTGGATAATATGTGGTGGCTTACTTCTCTCTCTGTGGTTTGCATATTTTAATTTTTAATGATTTTTAGAATTTTTAATAATGATTGTCTATATTTTTATGATTGTTTTATAATGATTTTTTAGATTGTGGCTTTATTTGATTGCTGTATGCCACCCAGAGTCACTTCTGGTGAGATGGGTGGCTATATAAATTTGATTAAATAAATAAATAAATAAATAAATAAGCAACATAAATGTCATTAAATATCAGCATAATGATATTGAAACTAGTAAAAATTAGACAGAGTTGCAGGGGAAGAAAGGTCTGCTGTATATATTATATAGCCTTTATTTTTGTTAAGGTAGACTTTCAGGGTTCCATCAGAAGTCCTAAATGCTTCCCAGTAAATATGAATAATGCTTCCCAAACCTGTTAAAAAATGGATTGGATTATAGTTCTAATTGTGATGCACCATGCTGGATAAGAATCCCAGGAGTTATACATAATTTGTTGTTGTTGTCTGCTGAGCTTTTTAAAGATCCTCTCAAGTAGCTTTCCCCAACTTGGCCACTCTCCAGATGTGTGGACTTCAGTTCCCAGAATGCCCCAACCAGCACAAACATTAAATTCCGAGAGTTGACATCCACACATCTGGAAGATACCCAGGATGAGGAAAGCAAGTTTATGCAGACCCACATTTGGGCAAATGCTACATGCTCATCCACATTTGCAGGAACCTGACAGAAGACCTTTGAAGTCAAAAAGAACAGATCTAGATTGGGCTACGTTGTTCTTAGATATGCAAGCTATTTTACATAATCAAGAGAATGCCTCACATTTTTACTCTTTTGTGTCCTGATTCCACATCTCGACACAAGCATATACTTCCCTTCATTAGATTGTACATAACAAGGAATTATCATGTACATATATTGCTCTTTCTTCCCTACCCATACAGTTTGCAGGGATGACCTCATGATTACAATCATTCTTTGGTTTGCCTTTGTTTCTCAGAACACCATTATCAACTCACATGATTTCAAAGAGCCTTCTTGAGAGCAGAAAAATGCCCATTAATGTACATCTCACAGATGTTTTAAAATGGGCCTGAGTTTAAAAAATCAAACCAGAAAGTATATTAAACTGTGAAAAAGATACAGAAGTAGAATTGTATCTTTAAATAGCAATGTTAACCATGTAAAATTTGGAGGGGGGGGGGAAGCAGGGAGAAAAGAGCTTTGCAGGAACAAAAACTGAAATGTCATCTCATTGTTTAAATCAAAGATCAGCAAAACACTCCCATTGTTTGAAACATACACACACACACACACACAGAG